GTTGTTTTCTCCTCCAGATTGTTCATCCAACCTATCTTATTTAGACAGACCTGAAGAGATAATAACATGCACAAAACAAGAGAAAAACAAAGTAACCAAAGAAAACAAAACAAAAAACGCATGACAAAAACAACAAAAAAGAAAAGCCTGTATTTAGTTCAAGGACTGTTTGTTGGCCTTTAGGAGTGTTTTCCGGTTGAGTTTGATGGGGTGCCATGCTCTGGCCCCAAAGTCTATTTTTGGTATTCCCTGGGGACTTTGTTGCTCTGTTCCCCTTGCTATTCTGTTGCACACCCTTAGTGTTTTCCCTTGGTGTGATGGTATCAGATCAGGCGCAATTCTCACACTGTCTCGTGTTGTCCCCTGTAGGGCTATGGGTCAGTGAGGTATGTTGTGTCTCAAAGTGGGGTCAGCCATATGGTCTTCTTTATTGATTGGCTGCTCTGAGTGGGAATATTGTCCTCGAGGTTTGGTGGGCCAGGATGTGCTCCACTCTCTCTTCTTCCCCCTTCATTTGCTCCCGTGTGCTTTGATCACACGTCCCTCTCCCTGAACTGCAGCTTCAGTGTTGTCCTTTGAAATAAATTCTTCTGGGGGGAGGGGCTGTACCATGGTTTATAAAGAAGGAAGATTGGTTAAGTCAATTACTTTGCCTTCCTTACATTTCTGAAGTCAAAATTTGTATCTCTCAGGAAAGAGCATGTGAGAAGTCTGACCACTCTATGACTTAAGAGGTCTTTTCAAATGCTGTTTTAGGGAAAGAACCGTGCCTCCACATGGAATTATAAATTGATGAAAAAAAGAGTTTTCAATTCTGGATAAGGATAGGGTCAATTCCTTAGGGCATTAACGAGGGCCTAAGACCAGCCACTGAATTCACCTAAAGTCAGCATGGAGGGAATAAGTTAACCAAAACAGAATATTGCAAAATAATAAAATCCTACACTGTAAAAGGTCCTTAGAGCAATACGACTCAAGCCTGTAGTCACATCTGTACACTTATGGGGAAAAGATGTTTTATAAACAGCTGGATAAATTATATTAAGAATGTTTTCAGGTGGAGGGAAAGTGGGTTGGGAAGGGGGAACCGATTACAAAGATCTACATATAGCCTACTCCCTGGGGGATGAACAAAATAAAAATGGGTGGAGATGTAGGACAGTGTAAGATATGTCAAAATAATAATTTATAAATTATCATGGGTTCATGAGGGAGGGGAAAAATGAGCTGATACCAAGAGCTCATGCAGAAAGCAAATGTTTTGAGAATGATGATGGCAACAAATGTACAAATGTGCTTGATACAATGGATGTATGTCTTGATTGTATTGAGTTGTATGAGCCCCCAATAAAATGATTAAAAAAAGAAAAAGAATGTTTTCAAATTATCCTGTTTTAAAAATCTCATCAGTTCCACCTGGTCAGCTTTTTGTAAGCTCCCTCTACAGCTAACGAACCCTCTGAGAGCAAGGAACCAAAATTTACATAACAAGTCTAACTAAATAATTTAAGAGGTTTAAAAGCAAGCAAGCTGCCCAATAATACTTATGCCTTAAAATCTCCATTGTTAAAACAGAAAGGGGAGATGAAGAAAAATTGTTGTATGACAAACTTCATTTACACTTTTAAACTAAGATCTTTTTCTCCTTACTGAAAGGAGAAATTTTGTTTCTAACAAAATTAGGGCAGATAAACACATTTTCACCTCACAGAAAAAGCTGATCCTAAGAAGTCCCAGGAAGATGAAAATGGAGTTTGGGATCCAGGTCCAGTAATCACCTGTAGGAAGGGCTATTATGTTTTTGCAGAAAGCTTATGGACTCCCCTTAGGAGGATGCAACCATATATGGAGGAAAGATGAAACACAAGAAAAAGATGAACCACCCAACCTTAACAATTCTGTTTCCAGGTTGCTAACAGCCCAAAGGGAGGGGCTATTTGTTTGTTTTCACAGGCAAGGGAGTTAAGTGGATTTCTCTTCAGCTTGCAAATCCCAGAAAAGACAGCTATGCTGTGATCTGAAAATTGAGAGAACAGCCCAGAGACCTCTGTCCTGTTGCTGAAATTACATCAAGAAGACCTCGAAGATTCCTAAGAATGGCAATTGTTGCCTGCCGAGACAGTTCTACCATTTCTGATGCTGTCCGAGACACGCTAGAACTCAATCATAACTGAACATTTTACTATTACAACACACTGCCAGTCTCATGCTGCTGCTATAAAAGGCTGAGATATGAAAAGAAAATCACGTAACCTCAATAGTTCTTTTGAATTTTATATATAACAAAAGGGGGGTCGGGTTAGGGGGAGCAGAGGAGGAGAAGGGTCTTATGGCTACCTATAAATGTCCCAAGATAGTAAAATTCTCTTTCTTCTCCCATTTCCATGTAGCCCATCAAGAGGAGCTGTGGTAAGCATGCTACCATAAAATGTGATTCCTTTATTTTACCCTCTCCCCTTTCTCATCATCTATGACTTCACCATAATCGTTATACATTATCACTGTACAATTGTGCCTACTGGTCCTTTGGTTGTTGGAGGTGGGACTCCTCTGACATTCCCCATAATGAGTTCTGATGTTGTCACCTCCACCATGAGATCGATGAGCAGCTTCGTTGAGGTGTAGCCTGCTTCTAGTATATATGTAAGTTCTGAATGATTATTTTTGCTGGATCTGGACTCTGAATCTGGTTTGACATGATCTAACTTCCTGTTCATTGTACTTTAGATAGTGGCCTCTATACTGCCCACCAAGCTATTAGCTTATTCTGCCTGACAATGAGCAGTCTGCCACCTTACCTGGTCTTTGATTCATTCGACTCTGCAGCCAGCTATCAAGAATTTCAATTGGTTTGTTAGCACCTACAGCTGAATCAGCACAAACTTTCAACCTAACATTTGGCTCAAGGACTGGAACTTAGCCTCTATTAACAGTACGAGCTGCTTCCTTGGGATAAATCTCTATATAGATACACATAATGTTACTGGTTTCGCTTCTCTAGAGAACCTAGTCTAAGACAGTATCTGAAAATGTGAGTATAACATTTACTACATGTACAAGTCCCCAACCCTATCTATATTTTCAGAAACTTAAACAGTACAATGGAATGAATATATACATCTAGAATTAGTGTTTTAAATCTTTATTACATCTTAATAATATAAAAATTTTAAGTATGTTTGCACTAGCACATTTGATCTCATCTTCCTTTTATCCCTCTTCTTTCTAGAGCCAATTTTGGAAACTGAGTGTATATATTTCTAATTTTACATGAAAATGTTTATCCATAACCAATGCTTAGTATGAGTCTTGGTTAGCACTGATATTATTCAAGTTAACATAGCTTTCATTATAATGTAGCCATTTTTTTCCATACATCTTTCCATACATCATCATATTTATTACACTTAATTGCCAGAGTATTGTACTACATGACCACCACAATCTAGTTATAGATTTCGGAAATGGCATGTTTTCAATTGCTCATTAGTATAATTCCTGGTACAATAAACATATTGATAGTATACAACTCCCTGGGTACATGTCAGTCTATTGTGTATAAATCATATACATGTATTTAAGAGTCGATTGAGTATATTATTTTAGAAAACCTCTTTAACCCTAAGGTTTTAAACCTTAGGGTTAAGTTTTAAGCTTTGTATTAAGTTTTGCTTTTTCCATTCTAGTCTTTAATATTTTAAAATTTAACTATCAATATTTTGATGTATTACTGCAGTGATCTAATGTTTTCATGCAGGGTGATTAAATTACTTTAATACCACGTTTTTAAACAGCCACAATACGTCTACTACTTTATGATGCCATCTCTATGAATTACCAATTTCCCATAAGGGTACAGGATTCTGTACTTATGTTTTCTAACCTCTATTCTTTGACTACATCAATCATTTTGATTATAGCTTTACAACAAATCATTTTATAACAGAATTTTAAAACAATTTGTATTTTCAAACCCTTGTATCTCATTATCCTTTTCTTATTGCATCAGGCAGATTTTCTATGAGTACACTGATTACTAGTAATCTAGCAGTGTCCATGCCTGGATCCTGACTTTAATGGGAATGTACTTTTAAGTAAGTGCAGCATTAATAATGTTTCTTATGTAATTGCATGGGATAGATTTTCATTATAGGAGGGTAAGTTAAAAATATATTTCTTCCAGTTCATACGTATAAGTTTATTCCAAACAAAACATGTTTAAATGTGTCCGCAATCCTTGGAGGGCTGCAGATGAGTATCTCAGTAACACACTTGTCAATCTTGAGTGGCTTATTTTAGAAAAGGTCCAATGTAATGGCCTCTGAGATCTGTTGTTCCAGTTAAATTCATAGCAGAGGTTAGATCAGGAAAAAAAAAAAAACTATTCCAAAAACATAATCTTGATATTCTTGAAAGACACAGGACAATCATGGGTACATAATCTGAAGAAGCATTTTTAAGATTTTAAAACTGTTGGCAAGAAAAAGGCCAATAAAAGAAAATTGCACCAAGGAATTTTTCTCTATCAAATTGTGGGTAGCAAAAGATACCTTATAAAAGTTTTGTTGGGAAATTCTACTCCATTCAAGCTAGGGTTCAGAGCTTAAGCCTTCAACAGAGTTTTGTTGTTGTTCCTCAAACTCAAAAACAACAACAAAACCAAACTTACTGCCATGGAGTCAATATTAACTCGTAGTAACTATAGGACAAGATAGAAGAGTCTGTGAGTTTCTGAGCTTGGTTTCAGGGATAGAATGCCACATCTTTCTCCTGCAGAGCAGCTGGTGGTTTCAAACTGCTGACCTTGCAGAATGCAGCACAACAAGTAATGCCTACCAAAGGATGCTGAAAATGAACACAAATTTGAATTATTTGAGTGTACCAAAATACAAAGTTTGATGTGATATAAATCAGATTCCAGAACTCTTCAGAAAATTGTTAGAACAATGGAAACATCACCTTCACAAGTGAAAAGACTTAGATGAAGAATACCGTAAAAAAACAGTAACTTCAGTTTTTATTTGCTAAAAATTCCTATGATTTTGTAGCAATATTTTACTTACCCTCAAGTCATGATAGTTGTTAAGAATCTTGGTTTTAATGTTTGAGTTGTTGTTGAAGAATTTTCAACATTAATGTCACAATGTAAGTTTTCTGGTGTACTGTTCAGAATAAATTCTGCAGGTGTTCTTAAAAGCATTTATTGTGCTTTAATGAGTATGAATTCGCTGATGTCTAATGTGATGTGACTTCTGGCTAAAAGCTTTACCACATTCACTACATTGATAAGGTTTTTCACCTGTATGGATTCTCATATGTAAAGCAAGGGTTGAGAACTGAGAGAAGGCTTTTCCACATTCATTACAACCATAGGGTTTCTCACCTGTATGACTTCTCATATGCACAGTAAGAGACGAACTTTGACAGAAAGCTTTTCCACATATCTTACATTCATAAGGTTTATCACCTGTGTGGATTCTCACATGTACAATAAGTGATGTTATTCGAGAAAACGCTTTTCCACATTTATTACATTCATAGGGTTTTTCACCTGTATGAATATTATGATGTTTAATGAGGTATTGTTTCTGTCGGAAGATCATTCCACATTCATTACATTTATAGGGTTTCTCTCCAATATGAATTTTCTCATGCTCAGTGAGATTTGATTTGCCACTGAAGGCTTTCCCACATTCCTTACATGTGTAGGGTTTCTCTCCAGTATGACTTCTCTGGTGTCTAATGAGGCTAGACTTCTGAATGAATGACTTACCACATCCTTTACATTCAAAAGGTTTCTCTCCAGTATGGATTCTCTGATGGATAACGAGGTTTTCCTTCTGGCTAAATGCTTTCCCACATTCATTACATTTAAAAGGTTTCTTTCCACTATGAATGCTCTGGTGTTTAATGAGGTATTGCTTCTGGCAGAAGGATCTTCCACATTGATTACATTCAAATGGTTTCTGCCCAGCATGAATTTTCTCATGCTCCAAGAGAGATGATTTGCCATGAAAGGTTTTCCCACATTCCTTACATGCATATGGCTTAACAGTATAAATTCCCTGGTATCTAATGAGACTTGCCATCTGACTAGAAGACTTCTTGTAGTGATAAGGTTTCTCTGCAATATGATGTTTCTGATGAGAAAGGAAGTTTCCCTTCTGGTTGAAGGTTTCCTCACATTTATTAACCTTATATTGTTTTTTCAGTGTATGACTTCTCAAATGATGGTTAAAGGATGAGACTTGAGAGGACACTTTATCACAGTCTGTTAATTCATGAGAGTTCTCTTTAGTATGCATTTTCAATATCTATGAGGATTTTCTTCAGACTAAATTTGCACACATGACATCCTGGAGGGTCCTCTCCGGGATGAAATTATACATGCTGGAGAACTGATCAGACAGGAGGTTATTTAATATCTTATTATGCTGGTTTTCTCCAAATATCCCCTAGTAGTATTTAAGATGTGACATAAATAAAAGTTTTTCCATATTCACTAAATTGATGCTTTTGCCCCAGTATTAACTCTCAGGTATCCAATTAGGTTGAGTTACTTTTCTCACAATGAATACTCAGATAACATGATTACAAAAAAACAACAACAAAGTTTGGCATCCTTATCCTATTGACAATAGTTACTTCTTGCAGTTTCTTTCATATTAAAGTATAAATTATATCTTTCAAATTGATTCACATGCACAGAGGGGCAGTCCTGAAGAATCAAGGTCTGTGCTAATAGAACATGTTTTTCTGTTTCCTGACTTCTTTGTCAAGTTTGTATTTTCATGGAGAAAGATGACAGTTGACTGAGAAGTCATTCATGTTGTATACATCTGTTTATAAACTTCTAAGTTCTTGTTTTCCCTAAAAGAACAAAAAAATGTTTTAATGTTAATAGATATAAAGTATGTATTAACTAGTGTGTAGTATACTGAGTACCAATATATTAACCATCATCATCAATATAGCTAGTACCACCTATGATGTTTTCCATTATTATTAAACATAATTTCAAGCATGTGCAGTGCAGATTTTTTATTTCAAATCTAGTTTCCTGATGTAAAATAAAACTTAAATGCAAATTATATTTACAGATATACAAGGGGTACCCAAAAAAGAAAAAAAAGGAAAATAATTTCATAGTATATGTTTTTTCTGCTAGGCAAGTATCGAGCAACTCGCTGAGGTACTGCACCTAGTGGCATCACCCGGGAAGGTTCCATCTAGTCACAGTGAATTTGTTCATAAAAGCAGTTTCACCTCCTACATTAACATGGAAGGAAATCAGAGATTTATTATCAAGACAAAATAAAGCAGAGAGGTAAAGTAGATGAGAGGACCTATACTGAAAATGACATAATTTATACATGATAAAGCCCCAACTTTTCCTCGTTAATGGCTGCAAGATTGTGAGTGTTACCTGGTGTCTGGTGATAATTATTTTTAGAAAAAAAGAGCAAACCTATGCACAGTACAGTGGGTTACTCTGACATGCTCTCATTACAAGTTCATGAATTAGTATGTCAATGTAACTTTTGGGGTTATACGATTCACTCCACTAACATATGCTGTATTATAATTTGTTCTGCATTTGATGGACACTTGGGTTGTTTCCCTTCGTAAACTATTATAAATAATGTTACTATGAATATTTAACGAGTCTTAGTATAAACATCTATATTTATTTTTCTTGAGTAAATGCCTAGGAGTGGGATTGTTGGGTGATACCGTAAATTTATCTTTAATTTTACAAGTTAATGCCAAATGATTTCCAAAACTTGGTTGTATCATTTTTTATTCTTACTAACAATGTTTCACATATAGTTGTTTCCTACTTCCCCCAACAATTAGAAAACAATCCAAGTTCCCATCAATTGGTGAAAAAATTATAATACAACCATGTATTATCAATTGAATTGTCACCCCCAAAGTTATGCTGACATCCTAATCCTATACCTGTAAATAAGATCTTTGTTTGAAAGTGTTTCCTTCTGTGAAAGAGGTATGCCAGCGAAACCCACTGCCATCAAGCTGATTATGGCCTCATAATGACCCCATCCATATAGGGTTTCCAAGACTATATATTTTATCAAGGGGCAGATAGTCTCATCTTCTCTCTGAGCATCCCTGGTGGTGTTGTCTGGTAAGCACTGGACTACTAGCTGCAAGGTCAGTAGTTCAAAGCTACTAGAAGCTTCTTGGAGAAAGTTGAGGCTGTCTGCTCCTGTAAAGATTTACAGCCATAGAAACTCTAATATAGAGTCCCTAAAAGTTGGAATAAACTTAAGAGCAGTGATTTTTCCCCAAAAAGTAACTTTGAACCACCAACCTTGCGTTTGGCCACCAAATGCTTACCAGTCAGCACCACCAGGGCTTCTTTAGCTCATAAACTGAATCACTTCTTAATTATATCTTATTAAAAGAGCAGGGAAGACTATGGGAAACAAAGATTTCTCCCAAGTTCTCTCCCCCAAATATATCCCAAAATTAGCTGCCTGCTACCCTGTTTCCCCGAAAGTAAGACATCCCCCGAAAACAAGACCTACCTACAGTTTTGCCTCTCACTGAAATATAAAGCATCTCCCCGAAAATAAGACATACCTACAGTTTTGCCTCTCAATGAAATATAAGGCATCCTTCCCAAAATAAGACCTCCACGAAAATAAGGCCCCCTGAAGCTACCGTAACTCTAGACTCTGAACTGTAGTGGGTGCACAGCTCACTGTTGGCCACAGCACAGCCTGAGCTGAGAGGAAATGCGAGGTCTCTTTGAATAAAACAATAAACAATAAATGTGTACCGTATTCTTCTTCATGGAAAAATAAGACATCCCCTGAAAATAAGACCTAGTGCATCTTTGGGAGCAAAAATTAATATAAGATGCTGTCTTATTTTGGGGGAAACGGTACATGTGGCAAATGACTATACACTTGGAGGTCAACAGAGGTAGATCAGGGGTTATTCTCCATAAAGGTTATCAGCCATCCAGAGCAAGCAGACACCACTGTTTATCCCACAACATGTAGGGCCCACTCCCTTCTGATAAGGATAGTAGTAAATTGTTTCCCTGAAGGAGAGCCCAGGGAGGTCAAGCCTACCCAAGGGTGACCAATGTTTGGCCGCCATCATGAATCTAGGGTCCGCCTTCTTGTCACATGCATACCTCTAGTTCCACCCCTTCCTATCATGTGTACCCCCTACCTCATCCCCTTCCTGTCACACTTATGCCTATTGTACATCACCTTCTTATGATGTATTGTCTATTGTACTGCCCCTTTCTGTGACCGTGGCTACCTGTAATCACGCCCCCTAAGTAGTTATAAACCTTGGTTAGCAATAAAGTTCCCTTCTGCCAGCTCTCCAGCTCTCTCCCCTGCCCTCCGCCCACGCTATGCGTGGACCTGGCTGGTAAGATCATGGCCATCCAGGAGGTGAACATGTTACCATGAAATGTGTCTGACTTCTTTATTTTACTCTCTCTCCTATCTCTCTCATGCTCTATGACTTTATTATAATCTTTGTTCTCAGAGGCCTCCTGATTGGTAGGAGGCAGAATGGGAACCTATCCTTTGAAAAGAGATGTTTCCTCCCAGGATTGGTAAAGAGACTATAGTTGAGAAAGACTAAGGGGTGGGCTGGTTAGCTGAAAGGGCTGAAGCTGAGAGAAGCATGCTGGGAGAGAAGGAACTACGTGGGAAATGAGCAGTCCTGAAGCTGCTACATTGGCTGTGAGCTGGGCCAGTTTTAAGTAAAGAATCCAGTGGTCAGAGGCCAGTGGCAGGGAAGAATGAAATGGTGGAGAAGCCTGACAATGAGAGCAGCTAAAAATGCTGCTACAGTGGCCAAAGCTGGGCTCAATAGCAACAGAGGGAAAGGCACCACAAGAAAACGACAGCCCAGTCTTCCTAACGAACACCGAAAATCCTGAGTAAAATATTAGCAATTGAATCCAAAAGCACATTAGAATGATTACATACTAGGATCGTATGATCAAGTGGGATTTACCTCAGGAATGTAAGGCTAGTACAACATTAGAAAATCAGTCAGTGAATATACCCAATTAATAGAACAAGAAAAAGCAGCACATAACCATGTCAATAAATGCAGAGAAGACTTTGGACAACATCCCAAACTCTCTCATGATAACAACTAAGCAGGAATAAAAAGGGAATTCCTCAATTTGATAAAGAACATTTTTAAAAAGCAATCAGGAAACAAACTAACAGAAAGATTAGGAACAAGACTAGGATGCCTGCCTTCACTACTGATATTCAACAATGTATTTAAAAGTTCTTGCCAGAGAAATCAGGCAAGAAAAATAAATCATAGGCATCACAACGGGGAACAAAGAAGTGTAACTGTCCCTTTTTGCAGATGACATGAAGCTTTACAGAAGACCCCAAAGAAACCACAAGAAAGTTACTCAAACCCAAACCAAGCTCACTGTCATCAAGCCGCTTCTGACTCATAGCCACCTTGTATGGCAGGGTGGAACTGCCTCAGTGGGTTTCTGAGAAAGCTAATCTTTAGAGAAGTAAAAAGCCTCAATTTTCTCCCACAGAGCAGCTGGTGGTTTCAAACTTTGACCTTGCCATTGACCAGCTTAACACTTAACCCATTTTGCCAGCAGGGTTCCTTACGAAAGCTGTAAGAGCTAATAAATTAACTCAGCAAAGTGATGGGAACAAGATAAACCCACAAAAACCATTAAAATTTTTATATACCATCAATGAACAATCCGAATTTCTTTTTTAAAAAATGAAACAATTCCATTTAAAATAGTAATTTAAAAAATAATTTTTGTTAGGAATCCATTGAACCAGAGAGGTGACAGACTTACAACTAGAAACTACAAGCAATATTCTTACAACGCGTACTCTCTCTCAACCCTGCAATCTTCTTGTTACCTCACCTCTGGCACCTGCAACATAAGCCTGTTATCTGACCTACATATTTTGGATATGCCAACCCACACAATCTTGTGAGTCAACAGAGGCTTCCAGCCCATCGTGTGAATACAGATTGGGGGCTCATCAGCTCCTATAACTATATAACTCAGGAAGCACCTTCCATCTTTGGTCTGACCCGAGATTTGGAACTTGCCAGCCCCTACAACTGAATGAACCATTTCCTCGGGGAAGTACATTTCTCTCGATATACACATACGCATATACTCGTACTTTACTGGTTTTACTCTTCTAGAAAACCCACACTAGGAAAATGACAGAACTATCTAATGCAACCTACACATTCAACACAATATCCATAAACATGTCCAAGCCTTTACACAAGTCAATCTTCAGTATTATACGAACAGCAAAGGACTCCAAACAGCCAAAGCAATCTTGAAATAAGGCTCACATTTTCTAATCTCATGACGTAATATAAAACCACAGTAATCAAAATAATCTCCTACTGTAATAATGGCAGACACATATCCACTGACTTGTCCTGTAACTTTACAGGACACAGAACTCTCCCTTAGGGTTTCTGAGACTGTAACTATGTAATTATGCCCACATAAAGTATGTAATTATGCCCACAGACAGCCTCATTCTTCTCCCAAGAAGTAGCTGATGGGTTTGAGCCATTGACCATAAGGCTAACAATCCATTGCGTAGCCTACTGCACCACCAGGCTTCCTTTAATAGATATACATATAGACCAATGGTATCAGAGTGAGAGTCCAAAGAGATACACACATAGTCAATTAATCTTT